GAAGCACCCAGACCCTTTTCTTTTGGCCTCAAGGGGAAAAAAAACGCGGAGAAAGGAAAAAATAACCGACAATGACAACCACCATTAAACCTTCTCTTGATCCTTGTGCACGTACAGATTGCTAGCACACCAGGTGATTTTTAAATCCCAGCCCAGTTCTCCTCCTGGCTTCTTAATGGCTGCTGGCCACTTCCTCTTGGGACCTGGCCAGAGTAAGCTCAGGGAATGCAAATTTTAATTCTGGAATCAGCAGAGCATATTAGGAGAGGAAATCCACAAGTGAGGCGAGCACATTGTGAATTCCAGAGCCAAGGAAAAGGATGGTAAGGCTGTGCGTTTGTTGGGGACAAGACCGTTTTACTCATTTTGGTGTGGGGCCCTAGGGATTGGTCATTATTACCCAGGTTTCCGTCTCTTCCATTCTTGTGTTTCTGCTTTCCAACCACTACACCTTCAGCTCTCCCCACTGAGCTGACTGCAGTCTTGCTTTGCATTCTTCTGACAGCAGGGGAGATGGCCTGCTAGGATGAAGGACCAGCTAAAGGGTCAGTATTTCTTATTGTACCCACCCACCTGGGATTTTGCATGAATGCTTGAAAGGCTTTTGTAAACTGATGAGCTATCCAAATATTGCCATCTCTTCTTCTTTGTTGTTCTGGTTGATGATTTAACTGACACTTGCTTGACTGCATTGCAGAATATTTAAGCAGATTCAGATTTTATTTTTAAAACTACTGTGTGCTCAATATAATACTACTATGCAGTGTATAGCATGCTGCGTGCTTTCATGCTTAGTCCTCACAATAATTTTATTATGTTTATTTTACCAAAGAGGCTCGCAGAAATTAACTTGCTCAAGAATATCTTTTTTGTTCTTTTTAGGCCCTCCTGAAATTGGGTTAGAGCCCTAGCCAGTTTTGCTCAGTGGTTAGAGTGTCAGCCCGTGGACCGAAAGGTCGCAGGTTCGATTCCCGGTCTAGGGCACATGCCTTGGTTGCAGACTCCATCCCTGCAGAGGACATAGGACAGAGGACATAGGTGCTTGTGGAAGGCAACCAATTGATGTCTCTCACATTGATGTTTCTCTTTCTCCCCCCTTCTTCCCTCCCTCCCTCTCTCTCTCTCTTACCAGCTAAAAAAAAAAATGAATGGAAAAATGTCCTCAGATGAGGATTAAAAGTATCTATTATAAAGAAAAAAAGAAATTGTGTTAGCGACTTCCTCACGTACTGCCCATCATCACGGCACCTCCTACGTATATACTGTTCCCCACCAGACTGGAAGCCTTGGGTGCTAGGAACTGGATTTTGTTCACTGCTATGTCCTCTGTCCAGCAAGTAGTCCAGCACATCAAAGATGTTCCATGAAATACTGTTTAGATGAATGGAGGCTGCTCTTATAGCCAGTGCTCTAGCCTGAAAACTTTTCCTCGTAGCTGACCGTTCACTGCCTTCCCCTACCAGAGTGTGAGACGCATGGGGTTAAAAAACAAAATTCAGTGAAGTCGATTTAAAGGTCTAATTGGCTTTACTGAGCTATTGATCCTATCTAACAACTGGAAGGGTGCTCAGATGAGTTGTACAAAATGGAAGGTTTTATTTGCAGAAAGAGGGTGGGACTGAGAAGTTAAAAGACTGGATTTCAGGCAAGGACACCTCTCAGGGTAGGAGTGGGGAACCTTTTTTCTGCCAAGGGCCCTTTGAATATTTATTACATCATTCTCGGGCCATACAGAATTATCAACTTCAAAATTAGCCTGCTAAATTTGGTGAAACATTTAATTAACTCACCCCTAATGCCTTGGTAAAGCCAGACCAAATGACTTCCCAGGCCTCACAGGGCCTGGCCCAGATGCCCCCACCCCCGGTTAGGGAAGGCCATAGGTCTTATCAGGCAGATCACCTCGAAAGCATTGATCAGGAAATTCCAGACGGATTTGGTTAAAATTCTACTCCTGGGAGAGGCTGAAACTGTAATCAGGTTAGTTACTGAGTTTTGTTTGGTGACTTAACAAAAGTGACTACAATTTGGCCTTTTTGGTTTAACAATGGGGAGACATACTGTGTTTCTTTCATGGCTGGATTCTCAAAGCCAAGAATAGTGCTTAGGACATAGTAAGGGTCCAATAAATGCTGGCTGGTAAATAAAGAGGTGATAGCTGGGGAGAGAGGAAATTCGTCCCCTGCTTTGTGTGTGTGTGACACCAGTGTATATTGTTCTGATGCTGATTTCAGTAAGATGATGTTTCAGACTGCAACACTGTGACTCGGGTAACTGCTGAATACTCTGGTTTCCTGAGTTAAACATTCACTTGCGGCTGAAGGATGAAATCCTAACTTGAGACCACTGTGCTTTTTAGTTCATGTCACAATCACTTCCCTTTCATCAGAGGCAACTCCTGAAGCAGCAGGAAAAAGTAACCTGCTTGTACAATCCTCAGCTTCATTTTCTAGACCAAGTGTAGTGTCTCTTCCCTCTGTAAACCAGTAGTATGTGCTACATGAAATGTTGTCTTTTAGTATAAAAATAACCATCATATTAATACAAGTTAGAATATGGAGAAAATATAGGAAAAACTATGCTCAAAAAGCTATTACCATATGTGTCTTTTTCACTCCATGCATTTGTTCTACTATGTATAGACATAGATCATGGTAATTTGTTTCTCCATTTTTCTTTTGTTAACCCTCACCTAAGGATATATATTTTTTCTATTGATTTTTTACAGAGAATGGAAGGGAGGTGGGGGGAAAGAGAGAAACATCGATGTGAGACACATCCATTGATTGCCTTCTGCATGCGCCCTAACCAGGGCTGGGGATTGAGCCTGCAACTCTATCAGTGGTTCTCAACCTGTGGGTCGCGACCCTTTCACAGGGGTCGCCTAAGACCATCGGAAAACACATATATAATTACATATTGTTTTTGTGATTAATCACTATGCTTTAATTATGTTCAATTTGTAACAATGAAATTGGGGTCACCACAACATGAGGAACTGTATTAAAGGGTTGCGGCATTAGGAAGGTTGAGAACCATTGCGTAGTGCAGTGATGGCGAACCTTTTGAGCTCGGCGTGTCAGCATTTTGAAAAACCCTAACTTAACTCTGGTGCCATGTCACATATAGAAATTTTTTGATATTTGAAACTATAGTAAAACAAAGACTTATATTTTTGATATTTATTTTATATATTTAAATGCCACTTAACAAAGAAAAATCAACCAAAAAAATGAGTTCGCGTGTCACCTCTGACATGGGTGTCATAGGTTCGCCATCACTGACCTAGTGAATGGTCTGACACTCTAATCACTGAACACACTGGCCAGAGATCATTTTTCATTTAACATTGTTCCATGTTTACCTCATAGGGATCCACTTATGTAATCTATATATATCTATATATATAAGCCTAAGCAACCGTCCAACCATTCGCTATGACGCACAATGACCACCAGGGGGCAGACGCTCAATGCAGGAGCTGCCGAGCTGTGGTGACTTGGCAGCTGCAGCTGTGGTTCTTGGGTGATGTACCCAGAACCAGAGAAGAGGGAGCCCGATTCCAGGGTGCGTCACCTGAGAACTGCCCTCTTGCAATCTGGGACCCCTCGGGGGATGTCGGAGAGCTGATTTTGGCCTGATCCCCGCAGGCCAGGCTAAGGGATCCCACCAGTGCATGAGTCCGTGCACCAGGCCTCTAGTTTTATTATAAGGATCCATTTAAATAATTATTGATACACATTTGAGGATTTTTCAAATAAGTTGATAATTTCAAAGACATAATTTTATTCTTTTTTTTTTACCCTCACCCAAGGATTTTTTCCCAATGGTTTCTAGAGAGAGTGGAAGGGACGGAGAAGGGGGGAGAGAGAGAAACATCAACATGAGATAGGCACATCAACTGTTTGCCTCCTGCATGTGCCCCTACATGCTGGGGAACCTGCAATGGAGGTACGTGCCCTTGACTAGGAATCAAACCCTTCAGTCCCCAGGCTGATGCTCTAACCACTTTGCAAAACCAGCCAGGGTGACATAATTTGCTTATATAAGTTCCAAATCTGGAGTTACATAGATATGTGCCCTGATCAGGAACTGAACCAGCAACCTTTTTGGTGTACAGGACGATGCTTCAACCAACTGAGCTGCAGGCTAGGCCCAAATCTGGAATTCTAAGTAAAAGATAATGAATTCGTGGTACTTGACAGATTATGAAACTGCTTTGCCAATATATTATACTAACTTATTCAACCACCAAACGATGACAATTTATCATTTAAATCATATTATCAATGTAGTAGGGAGAGGAAAAACCTCATAAGTCTTTCAATTTGCATTTAAGAACACTGCTAGGGGAAAAGAACTTGAATCAAGACCCGTTACTAGTTAAATGTCTTCTCTTTTAGAATCATCACACATATTGAGGGAGGAAGTTTGCCTGCTAGTCGGGCACCTATCTCTTCCCTGTGGAGGCAGCGTACTGTAAGGCCTGTGGCCCAAATGCTGTAACGACCAAAGACCGGCGTCGGTGGGCAGGGCTGTGAGCGTGGTGAGGCGTGCGGGGCTGCGTGATTTCGCGCGCTGGTCTTCTAGTTAAGAGTAGAAAGAACATGCCAGAACCGGTTTGGCTCAGTGGATAGAGCTTAGAATCATCACACATATTGAGGGAGGAAGTTTGCCTGCTAGTCGGGCACCTATCTCTTCCCTGTGGAGGCGGAGGTGTGCAGGGGGCAGCTGATCAATGTTTCTCTCTCGTCGATGTTTCTGACTCTCTATCTCTCTCCCTTTCTCTCTGTAAAAAAATCAATAAAATATATTAAAAAAAAAAAAAAAAGAGTAGAAAGAACAAGACCTTTGGGATGAGAATCCACCTTCCTAAAGAACTGGACATACATGCACCAACCTTGTGAGTTGTTAGTTTCATCCATTCATTTAGCCAGTGGTTCTCAACCTTCCTAATGCCGCAACCCTTTAATACAGTTCCTCATGTTGTGGTGACCCCCAACCATAAAATTATTTTCGTTGCTACTTCATAACTGTAATTTTGCTACTGTTATGAATCGTCATGTAAATATCTGATATGCAGGATGTATTTTCAGGGCTCACGATCCCCTTTTAGACTAAAGGGAGAAACTGATCAAAAGGGAGAATTTGACCATTTAGCTATTTTTTTTTTTAAAGAATTGTTTATTGATTTTTAGAGAGAGAGGAAGGGAGAGGGAGAAACATCAATGTGAGAGTGAAAGATCAATCAGCTGCCCCCTGCACACCCTCTACCAGGGATCGTGCCTCCAACCGGGCATGTGCCTGACTGGGAAACGGTAACCTTTCTGTGCCCAGGCTGACGCCTGCCCAGCTGAGCCACACCAGGGCTATTCTTATCTTTAAGAGTCACTTGCACACTATCTTCTGCAAGTAAGGATCCATTTTGGGAATTAGAAGAGCTCATTTTTTCTCAAGTATCAATTTTCCTTGATTTTTAAAATAGTAAGATGCTTACACTTATTATTAAGCCCTTGCTTAACATGAGATGTCACATATCCACTAACCTTCATGGCAACCCGAGGGAGGTTAATACTCATTCCTCTCAACACCTAACAGAAGAAAAAACCTGATGTGTAGGGAGACTAAATAACTTGTTTGAACCTTGGTAGCCTATATTGTTAAGCAGCCAATAGACTATCCCAGCCTCCTCTAGTAAGTCAGCAAAAAGTAAGCAAATCACTGCTCTTGCACTAAGGAGAAAGATACTCTGCCAGTCACTCTCATATGAATGAATGCGTTTGTCACTATAGCCCAGACTGAATGGAGGAAAGGGCGGCCGAATCTAAAACTCTGAAGCTCAAACACATTTCAGGACTGTGTACTTGCAACCCCTTTAGATGCTTCTAAACTCTGCAGCAGCTTGGCTCAACTGCTCACATTTGGGCAAGTGAGGCAAGCGTGGGCTGTGCCTTCCTGCCCGGTATTGAAGGAATCTTCATAGTGACACAGCCTGTCATGAACCTCCTTCTCCACGTCTTCTAGGCAGGTGCATGGCCTGATTACTAAAACAAGCCATGTTGCAAAGATGGAAATTGGTTAACTTTTCCTCATCTTTCTAACTCAAAAGTGTGTGTGTGTGTGTGTGTGGTGGGGGGTGTGTACAGGGGGAGGGGACACAACTGACTGTGAAGTTTATTATACTGGGAAGCATTTGTTAGGGAAGGTAAAACCCAGACATTTATATTTTTCAGCTTTGCCTTGGGAGCCTGCTTCAGCGCGACTCTTGCGGCTTTCTGGGCACTACCACTATGGAAGAGCTGCACAGGTCCCTCTGTGACTTCCGGAGGGTGTGGGCAGAGAAAAGAGATAGGCAGGTACTCTATGTGCACATCTCTTTTCCAAAAGCAGCCGCTCAAACTGTGTGAACTGAAATAAACTTAGTTCCCACATAGGGCAGTTGGCAACAGACTGGGTCAGAAAGCCTAGCTGCCTCGTTGTTTAAGGCAACACTGTAACAGAGGACTAGCTGCTTGTGAACAACAGATGGCACAGAGTAGGCCCAGTGGGTTTTAGTGTTGGCGGTTACCAAAGCTGATCTTAATGCAATCCCTTAAGCCTGTGTCTTCAGTGGAAGAAAGTCAGCGTTGGACTGGGTTGATAAAGCTTTGGGTCCGGTTTTGAGCCCGTGTTTAGCCCTTGCTTCTAAATACAGCAGCTTCAGAACCTGTCCTGCTAATAAGTGCTGGTTAATCTGCATGGTAAACCCTTCCCTTCACTAACAAGATTCAGTTAATGACCAAAGACCAACAAGCAGGGGCTTATGTGTGGGTGTAGCTCAGCAGCTGGAATGGGGAAAAGAATCCTATACATCTGCTTCAGCTACCTTTCCTCCCCTCCCCCCCTTCCTGACGTTTCCTTACTGTTCCCCCACTGACAGTGATCCTCGTTATTATAGAAGGGAGAGAGGCACATAGAAGTTACGGACTCAGGTCCATGGAAAATGGCAGAGTCCAAACTAGAGCCAAGCCTGCCTGCAGTCACAAGCTTCTCCCGTAAACGCCACCTCCATCTGTCATGACACAAGGAGGAGGAATGGGCTTTTCAGAACGTCTTTAAGGTTGACTCCTCTGGATGCTTCAGAGAGGTTGTTTCAAAGTTCCTCTCTTGCTAGCCTTTAAGTAAAGACGAGGAAAGGAGAAAAATTAAAATAAGCCACATACACAAAGCTCAAAGCACATAAGCCAAATGATTTAATTTAATATTAGCAAGGGTCAAATGGTATCTTAATAATGAAAATAAAGACAGTAATGTCTTCCTCAAATAAAACATTTGGAGGAAGAAACATTTCTAAAAAAAAAAAAAAAAGGAAAAAAAGTTTATTTGGAAAAGCCAGCCTCTTATACAAGGCTTTTATCTATACTTTCACTCTGTCAATTACAACAATATTTTAAAATACATTTAATACAATATATAAGTCACTGAATGTCATTGTTCTACCTCAATTTAAAAGATATTAGGTTAAAAAATATTTCATTTTCATTCTGGTCCGTCTTCCCTTCTATCCTTACACTAAATCCATTTCTTTACTTTTCAAATAAGTGAAGTGAGTCACAAAATTTTTAGGTTTATGTGGAGAAAATGTGTCTTACGAATGTGTCCAATAATTCTAACGAAAACATAATTTTCTTTAAGAAACTTCTCAGAGAAAAAGGAGCTATTTATTGAACTAAAAACACCCAGCAACTTCCCTTCCAATCTTATCCTTATATGTTTGCTTGGGGCCAAATCTCTTTGGCTCTTTTTAACCAGCAAACATGAAAAAAAGAAGAAAAGGAAAAGAAAACCAACAACAAAAAACAACGAAGCACACAAAGAACGAGAATCTCACACACACTCTAAGCTAGACATAGATATGAATGGAACCACTATGAATCAAAGGGGAAAATTCCAGGAAAAACAATAACAAAAAGATTCTAAGTCTCATGGTTTAACTGAGTTTTAGAAAAACCTAAGCCGAGTTCAGCTGCTGTTTGAAATATCTGTCTACATTTAATTAGAGATGTTGGATTTACTAAGGAGGCACAAACATATAGTTTTGCATATTTTAATACTAACTTTTACAGTGGAAAAAAAATACTAAGTGATCTCAAAAGGGACAATGATCTATAAGCACTCAAAATATGTCTTTGAAAAGGGGTGCAGAAATAGTTATTTAATAAAATCAAGAACTTGACTTCTAATAAACATCCTATGGAAAGAAACCAGATGGGGTGTTGATGAGTACAATGTGTCTAGAAAGACAAGATATTTCCAAAATTTTATGCCTTAAGTTTCCTATATATATAGCAGGCAGGTACACATGCCAGGCAAATATTGATGCTAGGAAAATATTTCAGCTAGGATTCTAGAAAACCCCCAACTTTCAGCCAAGATTTCTATTCAGTCTTTTCAGTGATAATGTATGACAATATGTTACAAATAACACTGAAGCAAGATTAGTTTTAAATTTTAGATTTGCTTCGATCAAGTTATTTTTCTTTGTAATGGAACACTTAAAATAGATGAATTCAGCAGAGTGGTTTGAAAAGTTAAGGCTCCTTGAAGATTCTAAAGACTAAAACTTAAGGCACATATTATAATCTTCATGACACTGTTAAAAGCTAAGATTAAAAAAAAAAATACCCGACTTCTCCCTTCATTCTTTGCCAACCACTCCCTCCCCAAAGGATATGGCATGTTAAATTTGGACTAATGGTAAGGAGTGAAACAAAAATTCCATCAAGGAACACCTGGTAGGATTTCCACACAAATGTCCACTATTTGCATTGAGCACCACTGGGAGATTACAGCCAGTAGAACATTTCAGATATCTTGGGTCACAAGCTGCTCCATTTACCCTTCAGCCCCACAGGCTCAGACTGGACTCTCCTCCTCTTTGGGGCTTCCTTCGGTGTCTTTCTGCTCTGGTGATTCCGCTGTGTTGGTAATTGCTTTTGGTGTCTCAACCTGTACACCAGCCTCTTCCTCTTTACTCTCCTTTTCCTGCTGCCTCGATTTTTCTCTTTCAGTCATTCGATAATTGATGCCCATGCCAATGAAGAGATAGATGCCTGCGAAAATGAGAACTATGCCACAGGCCCAGTACGTATATTTGTAGTCTCCGTAAATGTCATGGAAACGACCTAAAGGTGTCACAAAAGAAAAAAACACACTGAAAACACCAACCAGTAAACAGTTATGTGGATAAAAGTAATATCCTTTTCTAAATAAAACTCAAGGACCTACTCAGAAAGATGTCAACCCAGTTCTCAAATAGCCCACAGGTGACAAATTAGTTTAAAAAGAAACTGCTAAAAGTGGTCTGACCTTTTGTTTATGATGTCACGCTTGATTTTGGCTGGCCTTGCATACTGTCATTTTTAACAACTTGAAAATAATTAAATCTTGGCATATTTGAATTGGGAAAGAACTAGAGATCGCCTAGAATCAGTTTTCTCAATACATATTGGGGGGAAAAATTGTTGCAATGGAGGTTTAAGAGCCCTGGCCAGGTAGCTCAGTTGGTTTGAGTGTTGTACCTATACGCCAAGGTTGCAGGTTTGATCCCTGATCAGGGCACATACAAGAGTCAACCAATGAACGCACAAATAAGTGGGACAACAAATTGATGTCTTTCACTCTCTAAAATCAATAAATAAACCTAAAAAAAGAGAAAACGTTTAGGAATCTTGCCCAAGGTCACAGAGCTAATTTCAGACTCCTGCTCTTTCTCTGACATCAGCACTTCCCAAAAAGCATTCCTATGAAGACTTGTCCTAAAAAAATGACCAAATGTTAATAATACCTTTGCATCATTCTCAGTGCTTATTCCTCGAGCAGGCAGATTCTACCATCATTCTCATTGTATAATGTAAAAACTGAAGCACAGAAACCTTAAGTAACTTGTCCGAGGTCACAGAGTTAGTTAACGGTTAGCTTTAAACCCAGGACGTGCGACTGAAGCTGCAACTGTAACCTCTGTGCTGCAGGATACCTCCTGGTGTTTCCAAAGCCAAAAGTTTTGGGAAATGGCATATCTTATTCTATCTTATTAAAGCTGCACAATGCAAGTTAGCATGTCAAAGGCTCTGCAAGGTCCTGCAGTAAAGAAATCTTTCTAACTTGGTGTTTCCAAACTTTTTTTTGGCCATGAAATCCTTGTTATAGTAAAATTCATTAGCATCTCATCTAATTGGCATCTCAAGGAATAAACTCTGGAAAACCCTACTCCACACCTATGAAGGACTTCATGTAACCAATTCAAATATAGGATTCCATATGGCAGGGGTGGGGAACGTCCAGCTGCAAGCGGGCCGTATAAGGCTGGTGAAATCATTAGGTCTGGCCCTGCCATTAGGGGTGAGTTCGTTAAATGTTTGACTAAATATAGCAGGCTAATTTTTAAGTTGATAATTCTGTATGGCCCACAAATGATGCCATAAATATCCAAGTGGGTCTTGGCAGAAAGAATGTTCCCCACCCCTGCTACATGGTTTCCTAACTCAGGGCATTATTCACTCAGAGTATTTACTGAGCCTTTCCATACACCAGTCACTGGGTCTCTTAGGCCCCGAGGAGAAAGGTGGGCAAAGGAAATAATATCTACAGTTTAGTGGAGGAGAGAGATGTTAATCAAGTAATCATATAAACTGTGACCAGTGCTACTAGGAGGGTTGAAAGCAGAAAATAGGGGGTAGGACCAGTAGGTAGGGTCAGGAAGGCTTCTCTTAAAGAGTAAACTAGTAAGCCTAGACTGACAGGAGGAAGGGGTTATCTGGCAGAGAGGGGGTGGGGTAGGGGTCCAGGCAGAGAACAGTGAGTGCAAAAGCAGTGGTGGGAGAAAGTACAGGGGGCAAGAGGGGAAGGGAGAAGGGCCAGGCTGCTGGAGGAGAGCACAGGCCAGTAGGTAGGAAATGAGGCTGAAGAGAAAGGTGGGCGGGCCCATATGAGGGGCCCTGTGGGCCACATAAGGGAATTTGATCTTCACCCTAAGAAGATGGGAAGCAACTGCAGAGTTCCAATTAGCTGAAATATCAGATTTGCATTTGTCTGTCGAGTAGAAAACAGATTGAAGGCTAGCTAGAGTGGATATAGGTAGACCAGTTAGGAGGCTACTGGAGCAGCTCAGATAGGAACTATGGATAAGAGATATATAGATACGGAGAAAGTGTATAGATTAGAAATTTAGGAAGTGAAAACTGACAAGATTGGTCAACTGACTGGGTATCGTGGAAGGAAGTAGGAGTTACATCTTTTCAGAAAGAGCCAAATTTTCTTTTACTATGTGTTATGTATTGATTTAAAAGATGAAACATTTAATAACTTTAGGAAATAGTTTCCCAATTACATACTCAATTACTAGCTGTGTAACACAGGCAAATTGTTTCACTTTTAAAAGCCTCTTTCTTCACTGACAAAGTGGGAACTCTAACAGTCCCTACCTCATAGACTGGTGAGATATAAGATATAGGACAGTGCACTGTAAGCTTACATGGTAGCTATTATTATTACTACTACTACTATTACTTTAATTATTACTACCAAAATAAAACTCCATTATTAAAATGAAATCAACACCAGTGCTTTAGAGGTGGCGTTGTATTTTACATGTTTTCTTACAATAAGCATGGAAGCTTTACAAAGAGAAAACATTTTAAGAAACAGCATCATTTAAAAAATATTTTACTCCCCTTTCAGCTTGATGGTTCATTTAACTCAAGTCTGTATTTGAGCAATGATGCTACTTGAAGAATTGTGCCAGTACCGAGGACACAGAAATGAGAAAGACCTGCTCTCCCCCCAGCAAAAGGCTCAGTGATCTCTGCTTTCTAACCCCTTCTCAATCTTTGTGCCTGTTTTATATTAACAGAACCGTGGAGATAGGGAGACATACTATACCTAGAAGTGGTGGCCCTAGGAGGACAGGACAGCATTCAACAATGGTCACCAATCCCACAGCACTGGAGAACTTCTGGGGTCCAACGAGGTCCATCAGTGTTTCAAACAATACCGAGCTGAGCCACCCAAATGCAAACCCAAAAACTCCAGCATAAATACAGAGCCCAATATAGCTGGTAGTCAAAGGTGCTACCATGTGACACAGTCCATTTGCAATAACAGAAGCAGCAAAAAAATATTGAACTCGAGGTCTTATCCACCTTGTGTTGGCTAAAAGTCCCATAGATGGTCTGGCAAACATGTCAACAAAAGCCAGAATGGAAAGAAGGAAGGCAGACTTCTCACTAGAGTAATGCCGACTCTTGCCATAATTACTAAGAAAGACCAAAGGAGCAAACAGTCCGAAAAACATGACCACGTTTCCGGAGAGGTATATCAAGAAGCCTCTGTGAGTGAACAAGGAAAAGTCCAGGAATTGATTAATTGTTTGCAATACTGACTTTTTCTCCTTTTTGGGTTTTTCTCCAATGAGATCTGTATTTGCATCACCTGCCACTTTTGAACCAGACTTTCCAGCTTCCTCAATGGTTTCTGTGGGCTGATATTTCTTTGCACTGGCTGGGGGGGGCCCTATTGGTCGCATCAGGGATCCAGCCACACAGCAGTTTAGTAGTAAACCTCCAAGAATTAGGAAACTTCCTCTCCAGCCAAAGATACCGAAGAAAGCCTGATTGAGGGGGGCCAGAGTAGAGAGGAACACAGGACTGCCTGCCATGGCCAGTCCATTTGCCAATGGCCGTCTCTTGTAGAAATACTTGCCAATCATGGTCAGAGCTGGATTCAAATTGAAGGCAAGCCCAAGACCTAAGAAAGAGGGGAAAAAGAATCACATACTGTAACAAATGTCAGAGAGATATTTGGAATTACTTAACCAGACAAATAAAATAAATGTATAAGTAATGAAGGAAACAAAGATCCTCGTTATTGGAGGGCATTCTGTATTGTGGTTTAAAGTGTGAGCTCTAAAACCAGACTATGCGCTTTCAAACCTCAGCATCATTACTTACTGTCTGTGTAAGAGAGAGAAATATTGACGTGAGAAAGACACATTGATTGGTTACCTCCCACATGCACCCCTATCGGGGCTGGAGAACTTGCAACCAAGGTACCTGCCCTTGACTGGGAATCGAACACTTCACCCTTTGGTCTGAGGGGCCGATGCCCTAGCCACTTAGCAAACCAGCCAGGGCTCATGCATTATTCTTAAGTCAAAAGTGGTCAATACAAGAGTGGTCAATAAGCATTTTCTTTAAAACAAAAACAAAACACAAAGATATAAAAATACTTTTCTAATAAAGAGATGAAAATTAAAGACACATTTACTACTATGGACTATTCTTAGGACAAGGGATGCAATAATCTCAACTCATTTATTCATTCAACAGTGAACACCTGTTATCACAGGAATTTAAAAATGAATCAACAGCGACTCACCTCCAATGACTCCAATACAAAAGTAAAGCCCCTGTACACTGTTAGAGAACGAAGCTGCAATCAGGCCACTGCCTGACAAGCAGCCACCAACAATCATGACTGGACGACTGCCATATTTATTCACGAGGATACTGCTGACAGGACCTAAGAAAGGACCAAACATTTAGTGGCACAGAGGAAAGGAACCTACCCCCTCACATCTACACAAGGCATTAACCCAGCGGTTCTCAACCGTGGGTCGTGACTCCTTTGGGGGTCGAACAACCCTTTCACAGGGGTCGCCTAAGACCATCGGAAAACACATATATAATTACATATTGTTTTTGTGACTAATCACTATGCTTTAATTATGTTCAATTTGTAACAATGAAAATACATCTTGCATATCAGATATTTACATTACGATTCATAACTAGAAAAATTACAGTTATGAAGTAGCAACAAAAATAATTTTATGGTTGGGGGTCATCACAACATGAGGAACTGTATTAAAGGGTCACGGCATTAGGAAGGTTGAGAACCACTGCATTAATGACACTAAGTGACGAGTCCTCCAAAATAAACACAACAAAAGGTAATGGTAAGAATATCGCTTTCTTTTGTATCTGGATATTCTGGATGGAATTTTACTAGAATATAAACGACTAGATCCTTAATTTTTCTCTAAAAAGGCAGAACCGGCTGGAAATACCTTGGTAATGGATGTTCATAAGTTTCTTGATGTATCTAGGATACGACCAACATATATTTTGTAAGTTTACTTTGTTTTAAGTTTTGGACAGACACATGGATATGATATGATTTCAGAGCATTATTTACATATTATATACTAGAGGCCCGGTGCACAAAAATTTGTGCACTTGGCGGGGGGGGGGGGGTGTCCCTCAGCCCGGCCTGTGCCCTCTCGCAGTCTGGGACCCCTCAGGGGATGACCACCTGCTGGCTTAGGCCCGCTCCCTGGGGGATTGGGCCTAAGCTGGTAGTCAGACATTCCTCTGGCAGCCCGGGAGCCCTCGGGGGATGTCCACTTGCCAACGGGGAGCAGGCCTAAGCTGCAGTTGGACATCCTTAGCGCTGCTGAGGAGGCGGGAAAGGCTCCCACTACCACTGCTGTACTGGCAGTCGTCAGCCTGGCTTGTAGCTGAGCAGAGCTCCCCCTGTGGGAGTGCATTGAGCATCTGCCCCCTGGTGGTCAGTGTGTGTCATAGTTGACCAGTCATTCCAAGTCGTTCTGCTGTTAGGATCAATTTGCATATTACCCTTTTATTATATAGGAGTGCCTGGCCAGCCTGGGTGAGGGGCTGATGGCTGTTTGCAGGCTGGCCACGGCCCACTGCCACCCAAGCTCCCAGTGGAGGCTGGCGGGAAGCAGGTATCTGGGATTTATTTAGCTTCTATAATTGAAACTTTGTCGTCTTTTGTGGAGGCCACAGCCAGCCAGAGCAGGCGGGAAGCTTGGCTTCCTCCAGCTCCATGGCTGCTGGCCACCATCTTGGTTGGGTTAATTTGCATATAGTCGCACTGATTGGCTGGTGGGCATGGCTTGGGGGTGTAGCAAAGGTACGGTCAATTAGCATCTTTGTCTTTTATTAGTGTAGATGTGGTTTATATTTTTTAAAAAGAAAACAACAGACAAAATACATAATTATTTTTTTCAAGTTTCAAGTTTTGTAATTAGGACATCTAAATATAAAACAGAACTGTTCCCAATGACATCTAGATGTTTCAGGTATTGAACTGATTATGACTTTTAGAGAGTTAACCTGGTTCCTTGCCTATATTATTGTTTTGTGTTGTTAGCCAATACTGTGAGTAAAAAAGCCAGTAGGAGAAAATTAACTCAGATAATGGTCAAAATATTCCGTGGTGTAATGCCTCAAGAAGATAGGAAATGGAGTGTTATCTAAGAAAACCAGATTAAATTTCTTCAGCTGAATAGATACATACCAAAAAAAAAAAAAAAAAAAATCAGGGTTTTTTTTTAATGTGAGTGAAGGAACCAAATAAAAAGTGAAGTATTAAGGATCAAGAAAAAAAAAGATTTTATGGATTTTATGTATCAGGTTTTTTAAAAATATATTTTATTGACTTTTTACAGAGAGGAAGGAAGAGGGATAGAGAGTTAGAAACATCGATGAGAGAGTAACATCGATCAGTTGCCTCCTGCACACCCACTTCTGGGGATGTGCCCGCAACCAAAGTACATGCCCCTGACTGGAATCGAACCTGGGACCCTTGAGTCCGCAGGCCGACGCTCTATCCACTGAGCCAAACTGGTTACGGCTATGTATCAGTTTTTTAATACAAAAATCAAATGGCCTCTTCTTATTTGCTACACATAGGTATAATCTGTAATTCATTCCCAAATTTGTCTTAATTATAAGGAAGTCTTATCCAAAGTAAACAATGGTTTAAAAGCTATAACACAACTCACATAGACTAACAGTATTTTCTGATTACACACTGAGTGACACTCATTGAGTTTCATTTATTTATAAGAATACTTATGTCTCTACTTCATGGACATGAACTTGTGGAAATGACAGCTTTGTTTACATAACACCATAACCTGTCTGGCTGGTGAAGGTAGATGACTGTAAGTAGGAAAGAGTCACTGCAATGCAGCTGTAGGGAAGGGGATAATGGAACATGCAAGTCACAAAGCTGGTGTGTCCCAAGTTTCAAATCCGGCTCATTTTCTTCCCATTACATGATTCTATATTTATAAAGCAGAAGACATACAAATCATATTTCTATTCTATCCGCACAGTAAATTATGATCTTATTCCGTTTACTGTATAGTTCTCTCCCTAGAAGATAGTAAGTCTATTTTTAAAAACATACTATATATAGAATGTATATATTCAGAAAATACTATTGATCATATGTTAACATATTCTATTTCCATAAATACTATGGAAGATTCTGCAGTTACTTTATTCTAGTAGTACTATTCTTAATCGCAGCATGGTGTTATAAGATTTAAAAAACAGGCCTTTTGGCTAAGATCAAGAGTAGTATGTTCTTATCAGTTTACTATCTGATACGTCCTCTATCTGAGGACCTTATAGTAAACGTATTTTTGGAGCAGGAGATGGAATAGGAGCTTGCTCCGTCCACTCCACGCATTGACCTGGTATTGCAGTACCTCCGGGAATGGTGCAAAAACAAAAGAACAGGCTCTGGCTGCAGGGAACCCAAATTCAAATTATGGTAAGTATGTATGTACATACCTACATACATATGAATACATGTATATATACACATAATAAACATGCATGAAGAAATAAAAGCTTTTAATATCCCAGTATTTCAGAGGATCAAGTCTCTCTAAGGTGCTGGGTCAGTTAACTGACTGCTAGGACAGACTTCAGGCTCAACCAAGAATCCTATATAATAAAGAGGTAATATGCAAATTGACCACCACTCCAACACACAAGATGGCCGCCCCCATGTGGACACAAGATGGCCAGCAGGGGAGGGCAGTTGTGGGCAATCAAGCCAGCAGGGGAGGACAGTTGAGGGGGACCCAGACCTGTAGGGGAGGGCAGTTGGGGGGGACCAGGCCAACAGGGGAGGGCAGTTAGGGGTGACTGGGCCAGCAGGGGTTACCAGGCCAGCAGGGGAGGGCAATTAGTGGCAATCGGGCCGGCAGGGGAGCAGTTAGGCATCGAACAGGCTGGCAGGGGAGTGGTTAGGGGGTGATCAGGCTGGCAGGCAGAAGTTATTAGGGGCAATCAGGCAGGCAGGCAGGTGAGCGGTTGGGAGCCAGCAGTCCTAGATTGTGAGAGGGATGTCCGACTGCTTGGTGGGATTGGGCCTAAACAGGCAGTCAGACATCCCTTGAGGGGTCCCAGATTGGAGAGGGTGCAGGCTGGGCTGAGGGACACCCCCCCTGTGCATGAATTTTGTGCACTGGGCCTCTAGTATGTATATAAAGAAGTTTTCATTGCCCTAGCTGGTTTGACTCAGTGGCTAAAGTGGTGGCCTGGGGACTGAAGAGTCCAGGTTTGATTTCCGTCAAGGAAATGTACCTCGGTTGCAGGCTTGATTCCTGGCTCCAATGGAAAAATATCCTTGGATGAGGATTAACAAAACAAAACAAAAATTTTCATTGACCTAAGTCACTTCATGCAAATATTAGGCCACAGCTGGTTTGGAAATAATTTTTACTTATAGCTTGAGTAATATGAAAGAATAAAATATTGCCACGCTGTTGACTCTGAGAAGTATAAGTTAATGCTGTAAAGTTTCCAGTATTTTATTTAAAAATATATATATTTTTATTGATTTCAGAGAGGAAGGGAGAGGGGGAGAGAGACAGAAATATCAATGATGAGAGTATCATTGATCGGCTGCTTCCTGCATGCCCCCCCGACTGGGGATCGAGCCTGCAACCTGGGCATGTGCCCTTGACTGGAATTGAACCTGGGACCCTTCAGTCTGCAGGCCAACGCTCTATCCACTGAGCCAAACCGGCCAAGGCAGTTTCCAGTATTTTAGATGGGAAATGTTAAGATGACATCACCATAAAACTGAAAACATGTAAATTTACACTTTTCATTTTAGAAAAAAAGAGGAACAATTCAAGGAAATAAATAAAACAACAGTAGGCAACTGAGATCTCCTCTCCTATAAAACATACTCTAACAAGCATCAGGATGTATCTATGAACCAAAGCATTAAAGAAAAGGAAGAAAAGCAAACTAAACCACTCACAGCTCAAAACATATTAGGGTGGGTGTGGCCCAAATGCACAAATTAAAGGATTATGGCCCTTGTAAAAGTTATGATAATTATTAGGGGACATACTACTTAGGAGCCCATCTAAACAAAATAACCCATTTAGTAAAAATTCTGCCACAAGACTCATGATAGGCAATTTGTCTTTTGAGTTATTTCAGGAAGGATGGCCCCAATTAGCTATAATTAGAAAAAGAGAGGGGTACAGTTCATAGTCCTATTATAACAAAATTCAGGGAAATGTGCTACTTATCTCTGGGTGAGGACAAAGAAGGAACTGTTTTCCCAAAAGAAGGTGTCATGTGCAATTAGTGTATTTTACTTTTGATGCAAAATACAAGTGGCTTTCAAGCTCTTTGGCAGCTCGGAATTGCAACAGCAAACCTCTGGTTTGTAGTCAGCTTAAAGATACACTAAGCAACGGGAGTACCTCTGGAGAATATTTTTACCAATTTTTCAAGCCATCATAATCAAAACCTGATTAGAAATCCTGGCAGATGGAGTTCAAGGCCTCCAAAATTATTGGCCCTCAGAAAACTAGACAATGTCCAAGGTTCCTTTTCATTTCTCTAAACTTATATTTTCAAAAAGTACTATAATTGCCTGGTCGGTATGGCTCAGTCGTTGATCATTGACCTATGAACCAGGAGGTCACGGTTCAATTCCCGGAGTGGACACATGCCCGGGTTGTGGCTTGATCCCCAAGGGGCAGCGGATCAATGATTCTCTCTCATTATTAATGTTTCTATCTCTCTCTTCTTCTCCCTTCCTCTCTGAAACCAATAAAAACATATTACAAAAAAAAAGTACTTTAATAGACAAAACAGGCTTATGTTCAAAATTCAAAAGATTCAAAAGATATACAGCAGAAAAAAATGTATTCCCAGACCTGTTCCCTGTCACCCAATTTATCTTTCTCTAAGGCAATCAGGTTACCTGTTTTATCTGTGCAATGAAATTAGGCACTTAATCCAATTATGACTCCAACTTATTTGTTTCATGAGTTTATGTTATTGTCTCAACAGGATTATAAACAGGATCACAACACCTAACCTAGTGTGTAATAGGTAATACTCAACCTACTATATATAATATAATGTGTAATACCAAGCATAGTGCTTAATAAAAATGGGGTAAAGCTGACACCAGGTTAGAAGCGTAAGGCTCAGGTTTAACAGTTAAAATATTGGATATTAAAGAGCTACAGATTCAAATGATAAAGAGAGAGAACCAAAATGGTGGCATAGGTAAACACGGGTACTCGCAGCCTCCCACAACCACATAAAAAAATACAACTGAAATACACAATGGGCATCATTCAGAATCGCCTGAAATCTGGCTGAGTAAAAGTCCTATAACTAGAGAAGTAAAGAAGGCCTGGGGTGGGGCAGGAACCAGGTAGAGGGGGAATGAAGAGAAGGGGAACATCTGTAATCTTATATAATAGAAGGCTAATATGCAAATCGACTGAACGGCAGAACAACCAGTTGCTATGACGCGCACTGACCTCCAGGGGGCAGATGGTCAATGGAGGAGCTGCCCCCTGGTGGTCAGTGTGCTCCCACAGGGGGAGTGCCTCTCAACCAGAAGCCAGGCTCATGGCTGGTGAGTGCAGCGGTGGTGGCGGGAGCCTCTCTCACCTCTGCAGCAGCACTAAAGATATTTGCCTGCCGCTTATGCCTGTGGGCCTAAGCCAGTGATGACGAATCTTTTGAGCTCGGCATGTCAGCATTTTGAAAAACCCTAACTTTACTCTGGTGCCGTGTCACATATAGAAATTTTTTGATATTTGCAACCATAGTAAAACAAAGACTTATATTTTTGATATTTATTTTATATATTTAAATGCCACTTAACAAAGAAAAATCAACCAAAAAAATGAGTTCGCGTGTCAGAGGTTCGCCATCACTGGCCTAAACCCTCAGTTGGGCATCCCCCAAGGGGGTGCAGGCTGGGCTGAGGTAACCCCCACCCCAGGGCACGAATTTCGTGCACCAGGCCTCTAGTACTCTCAATAATAAAGATTTAAAAAAAAAAAAAAAGCTACATATGAAAATAATCTGAGGTACTAAACAGCCACCGAAAATAAGATTATCAAAAGTGAAAGCTTGCCTAAATTAGCAACTTGAGACACTGTCAATCCCAGTAAATAAGTACATTTGGCTTTAGAATCTCTGCTTACTAAGTACCTATATATTTTCAGTACTATGGTAGGTTTTGACTTGTACATGTTAAATTGTGATTTGGTGTTCCAAAGTGAAACAAACAATATTTTAAGTGATGTTATTAAGTAAGCAGTAACTTACTCTTCACATTTCCTTCACATGTCAAAGACAGAAAGGGAGGGGGTGAAAAAACTTAAGCTTAAGGTGCAGCTGAACTGCTTTTAGGACTATATTATCACAAGGAACCGGAGGGAGATTTTATTCATTTCTTTAATTCTAACACCATGAAAAGTGTTTTTTCTGAGACTCTGAATTAGCTATTCAAGTTAACTCGATTTATTTTAATTCTCCCGACATCAATTAAAAAAAATCTGTGTTTATATTTTAAGAGTCTAGAGGAGAACAATAAAAAAAATCAGTTGTGCATGTGTCATTTTTCTGAGAGCTTTTTAAAGCTCAATGATACTGCGTAGGAGCAAATCACAATTTCTCTTTTGTTTCAGACTACTATGGAACTAACAGCAAACTAACAGCAAAAGTTGTCATTGCTAATAGGAATGAAAATGTGACTCTAAACAAAGCTTCAAGCAATGACATTTCAAAACACCTCACTGAATGAGACATAAAAAAGTGACCTAATACAGAGCCTCTGGCTGCTTTATGAATATTAAAACGGCAGGCCTTTGTGGGTACTTACCTCCACCATACATGACAGCCAGCATGATGGAGGATATCCATGACACTTCACTGCTGGTGGCATGGAATATTTCTTCAATTTCTTTGAAGAACACAGTAATAGACTTGGGAAATGCATAAGAGTAGCCGATGGAAATGAAAGCTCCAAATACCACTGCCCACCCCCAGCCTCCATCTGGGGGGGTGTATCCAACTGGACCTCCAACTGCTGGTGGCATTTTAAGGGTAGATGAATTCCAAAATGCAGTTCAAATCCGAGTATCTGAAGGATATAAAATTAAAACAGTATGTCAGCTATGTCAGCAATAAAGCACTCCCACCCACCACTGCCAACAACAAACACTTCCACCCTTTACACCAAGCTTTCAAATAACGGAATTGTTTTTCAATGTTACTTGTCCAATGGACATTATCTTCTCAGGACATTATCACAAAAAGTCTTAGTGCCATGGTATTACAGGCCTGTGTGAGCTTATGCTTGGCAGGGCAATGTCTGTGGGAAACCTCTGTTCTTCCAAAGATATATTATGTTTGATCTTGCTAGCAAAGATTTCCCACAGGCAAAGTCCTGCCAAATATAAACTGACAATCTAAAATTTCAAAACACATCAAGAATCAATTAACCGTAAGTGAAGCTAAGCCAATCCAACATAGCTGGATTAGATATTCAAGAACTACAGATATTGGATATGGATATTTAAATGGCTAAAAGCAGTAAGGCATTAAAAGCACTTTAAACATTAATTAGACTAATTGATTTGAAACAGAACTTCTAGAAATTAAAAGTATACTCAATGAAATTAATAATATGTTAACCAGCATACTGAACACAGCTGGAAAGAGACAGTAAACCTGCAGGATCTGAAAAAGTCAGAATTCAGCAGAGAGCTTTATTCTGAAGCTATGAGAGAAAGGTTTAGAAACATGGAGTTTAGAATGGGAGGATCAAGCATACATCTAATGGGACTTTGGAAAAAGATAAGAGTGGAAAAGAGACAACTTTCAATGGTTAATAGCTAAGGGTATAGACTTGATGAATAATATGAACCTACATATGATGAAACCCAACAAGATAGAGAAAAATCTTAAAAAAAAAAACTATTAAGAAAATACAGATTACATAATCACAGTGAGAAAACAGAATTTTCATCAATTTTGAAAAACTAAGCCACTGTCTCTTAAATATTGGTTTTCCCTATTCTCTCTTTCCTTTCTTTTGAGACTCTAACTGAATGTGGGCAGGGCCTTTCCATGGTATCTACTCCTTTTCTTCTGTGTTTTCCATCCTTTTGTTTCTCTGTTCTAAGAATTTGAGGCCTAGGATATTATCTTTCTCCAGAGATATATTTCTAGGATCAAGATGTTTTAGGTTGCAGTTCATTTGAGGACTGCTTTGCCTCCAGTTCATCCTTCGTCCTACAGCACAGCCCTTTAGCATCCCAACCCAAAAGAACAGTATTTTGTTACCAGAGCTCTCACTCTTGATGGACTCTTGACTCCAACATTTTTTCCGTTGGGCCCATGAAGCTTTCCAAAGCACTACTCAGGCCACCGGAAACTGATCCTCTTTCTATAACTTGAAAGCCTTTAACTCCGTAATCATATCACTATTGCCACAAGTAGAAAGCTAGTAAGATAAGTTGCCAAAATCAGATAATCATCAAAATTAGGAAGTCACCAATCAGAGGCTGCCAAAATCTGCTGTTAGCTCTAAATCCACATGACAGCACCATAAAAATGGATCCTACATATCCTGCCTCTCAAAATCTCAAAGCCAGTATCTAGACCTGGAGACATCTGTTCTGATTCTGCCTCGCAAATGTCACAAGAATGCATTTGACTAGCAGAATTCAAATCAAATCCAGAAACATAGTTGCAAGGGAACCTGGGAAATGTAGTTTTTAGCTTTAAAGCCAGGGCAATATAGCAAAATACACTAGGAAAAAGGATGTAATGGATGCCAAACACTATTTTCAAAATCCACAGACACATGTAGTATGATACCATTTAATAAAATTTTAATCACGCAAAACAATAATATATTGTTTACAGAGATACATAGGTAATAACAGTCATGACTGCTTCGCTTAATGATGGGAATACATTCTGAGAAATGCAACCTTAGGTGATATCATTGTATAAACATCATAGAATGCACCAACACAAACATACATGGTACAGCCTACTACACTCCTAGGCTATATTGTATAGACTATTGCCTCTAGGCTATAAACCTGTATGGCATGTTACTGTACTCAATACTGTAGGCAACTGTTTAACACAATGGTATTTGTCTATTAAAGCATATCTAAATAGAAAAGGTATAGTAAAAATGTTATGAAGATAGTGGTACATCTGTATGGGGCACTTATAATGAAACTTGCAGAACTAGAAGTTGCTCTTGGGTGAATCAGTGAGTGAAAGGTGAGTAAATGCGAAGGCCCAGGAATTCCACAAGGCTGTGGTTGAGATGGCAAACCACTTTAACCCTACACGACTGTAGACTATATTTATAAACACTGTATACTTAGGTTACACTAAATTTATTAAAAATTTTTCTTTTCTCAAATTAACCTTAGCTTACTGTAACTTTTTTACTTTATAAACTTTCAAATTTTTTGATTATTTTGTAACACTTTGTTTAAAACAAACACATTGTACAGCTATACAAAAATATTTTTTTTATATCCTTATTTTATGAGATTTTCCCTATTTTTAAAAGTATTTTTTTTTTTTTTGCTTTTTAAACTTTTTTTGTAAAAAAAGAAGACACAAATACACACATTAGCCTAGATCTACACAGGTCAGGATCATAATATCCTTTACTGTCTTCCACCTCCACATCATGTCCCACTGGAAGGTATAACATGCATGGGATTGTCATCTCCTATGATAACGCTTTCTTTTGAAATATCTCCTGAAAGACCTGCCTGAGGCTCTTCTTAAGCAGGTGTCACTCTTTTCAGGAATATGTCCATGGTGGTTTGCTTGTTTCTTTTTTTTTAATCACAGATTTGCTTGTAAGCAGATAATGTACCATCAATACATAACATTCCTCTGTATTAATGAAAGCCTTTCAGTGTGGGTTTATGTCTTTAAACTTTTTAAAGAGTTTGTTGAGGTCTGCAAAAGTTTCTGCTAAAACCCTTCACTGTGAATTTTCTTAAGTATTTTCTTTCTTCTTTTTCTTCTGCAGCTTTCTTTTCTCTTGCTTCTTTAGCTATACATTCATGTCCCAGTTCTAATAATCCCTCAGTCAATTCCCAGAACCACCGCTAGGTCATCCTCATTCACACCAGGGTTAAAGGTGTTTGTCATCTCAACCACAGCCTTGTGGAATTTTTGCAACCTCTTCATCCTTGGCAATTCCTTTAAGTTATGAATGAACCTCTTGTCTTCTTACGTATGCCATTCATACATTCCTTGGTGACATCACCCCCAACCCCGAAGCAAGGTTCTTGATGCAGTTATAGATGTAATCCTTCCAGCATTGCTGTCTTCCTCAGTTGCAGCAATAGCCTGAGCAAATAGTCTTCAGGTAGTAGACTTTAAACAGCACTATAACTCCTTGGTCCACTGGCTGGATCAGAAAGATGGTGTTCAGAGGAGGAAACACCACTTGATATTGGGATGAAGATTACCAATAGAAGGAGGATGCCCAGGAGCATTCTCAATAATAAGCAAAATCTTGAAAAGTATTTTATTCTCCAAACAGTACTTCTCCATTTCCCTGGTATAGCAATTCAAAAGGGCATCTTGGAAGAGAAGCTGGGTCTCCCATGATTTCTTATTGCTCCTGCAGCATGCTGGCAGTGTGCACTTATTGATATGCTTGAAGGCTCTGGGGTTCTCAATGTGCCAGATGACAAAGGGTTTCAATGTGTAACTTGCAACATTGCCCCCAAGCAAGACTGCTATCTTATCCTTAAAAGCCTTCAAATCTGGCACTGACTTGGGTTCCTTATGGATGAAAGCCCTTTTAGGCATCCGTTTCCAGAAGAGGGAGGTTTCAGCAATATTCAACATTTGTTCTGGCAAGTAATTTTCCTCCACAATCAGCTTATCTCAAGTTTCCAAAAATTCCTCACATCAACAGTCACTTTCACATTATGGGAGGAATAACGATTCTTGAATTGTTTAAACCACCCAGAGCTAGCAGTAAATTCAACACTGTAGTCCAGCCTTTTTTTCTACATCACAAACAAAATTTTTGCTTTGGCCAGAATTGCCATGGTACTGAGAGGGACACACTTCTGTGTCTAGTCTTCAATCCCGGTTATTAGATGTTTCTCCTTGTCTGATATAGGTTCTTCTCGAATTTTCTCTTAGTTTGATTGCCTTTGATGAAGCAGATCCTTCAACAGTTTCCATCACTTTGTTGTCTTTCTTCAGCTATGCTGAAATGGGACATGCCTGACTGGTGAACAATAACCATCACTGATTTCCCACCTTCTAGTCCTTAATTACTTGGCCTCTTACTGGCAACATTAGCAGTGGATTCCACACACTTAGGGGCCATGATGAACAAAATAACATGAAATTAAATAACATAAGATAAAATGATACAATTAAGAAATGCAGCAAACTAGGTGTATCATGCTGCTGCAGGCTTAACATGCATACTGGTTTACAACAAACTAATCTAATAATAGACAAACACGGTAATTGACCGTACCTTTGCTATGCTTCCTATTGGCTAATCAGGGTGATATGCAAATTAACTGCCAACTAAGATGGTGGTTAACTGCCAACAAAGATGGTGGCTAATTTGCATACTGCAGGCAGGGTAGGACAGTGCAAGCCGCCAGGCGGGGGCTGGGGTGAAGGCAAGCGGTGCCGATCGCCTCGCCCTCGCCCTCGCCTGCCCACCGGAGACACGCGGGGCCCTCTCCGAGAGAGAGAGAGAGAGAGAGAGAGAGAGAGAGAGAGAGAGTGTTAGAGAGAGAGGCAGAATTTGGCATCCCGCATCCCTCCCTGATCGACCACTGTGATTCCAAGCCAGCAAGGGCTGCCTTCAGGCCGCAGCTCCAGGTCCCTCATCCCCAACCCAGGCCCGAGAGCACAGTGCTGGGCAGGGGCACCCAGGGGTTCGGGAATGCAGCGCAAGGGGCCGGCACGATGTGGGGGAGGGGCTGTGTTTAAACCGCCAAGTTCCCCACTTCTGCCCTGGCCCGCACATGCCTCCTCCTTCCCCTAAGAGGCCCAGCTCCTGCCTACATGCTTGCTGGGCAGGCCCAACTGCACCGGGGAGTGAGCCATGGT